CGATAACGCAAGTCAACAAACATCATAAATCATATAAATGCACCCAGACAAGAAACACACGGTAATCTCAATAGAAAGCAGAGAGGGACTCTGACAAAATTCAACATCCATTTACGTTCAAAGTCCTACAGGGAACTGCATCGGAGGTAACATACCTCAACGCAATGAGAGCATACACAATAAACCCACAAACAACATCATTCTGAATGGAGAAAAACTGGAAGCAGTCACATTGAAATCAGGAACAAAACAAGGCTCTCTGCTATCTCCACTCCTTTTTACCATAGTGCTTGAAATTCGTACAAGACAGTAAGACAAGAGAAGGAAATTAAAGGAGGAATCATTGGAAAAGAAGACATCAAATTAGCTCCCTTCTGCAGATGACGTAATATCTCACACATGCCAGAAATTCCACCGGGGACCTCCTAGAAGAGATCCACAGTTTCAGTAAAGGGGAAGGTTACAAAATAACCTACAACCAATCCGAGAAAGAGTACATGGAAACACTTCCTGTCACAATAGCCTCTATAAAAAAAATAAAAGATCTCAGAATAAAATTGACCAAAGACATTAAAGACCTCTACAATGAAAATTTTAAATCTTTAAAGAAAGAGGTTGAGGAAGACATCAGAAGATGGAAGGACCTCCCATGCTCATGGATTAGAAGAATTAATATTGTGAAAATGACCATCCTACCAAAAGCCATTTATAGAGCCAATCAAAATTCCCATGACATTTTTCACAGATTTGGAAAAAAAAAATCCTAAGATTCGTATGGAAGCACAGAAGATCTTGGATAGTCAAAGCAACCTGAGCACTAAGAGCAATGCCAGGGGGTTACTATACCAGATTTTAAGCTGTATTACAGAGCTATACTCATAAAAACAACATGGTATGCACAAAAATAGACCCATAGATCAATGGAACAAAATTGAAGACCCAAATATGAGTAAATGCAATTTCAGCCACCTGATATTTGACAAAGGGGCCAAGAATATTCACTGGAGGAAAGACAGCATGTTCAGCAAACAGTGCTGGCAAAACTGGATCTGCACCTGTAGAAGAATGAAACTAAACCCTTATCTTTTACCCTGCACAAAAGTCAGTTCCAGGTGGATCAAAGACCTCAATGTAAAGCCTGAAACCCTGAAACTATTAGAAGAAAACTTTGACAAAAACCTACAAGATATAAGTGTAGGAATGGATTTTCTAAACCGGACATCAATTGCTCAGGAAACAAGGGCAAAAATTAACAAATGGGCCCTCATTAAACTAAAAAGCTTCTGTACATCAAAAGGGGCAACCAGGGAAGCAAAGAATGGGAGAAAATCTTCACCAGCAACGCATCCAACAGAGGTTTAACATCCAGAATATAAAACGAACTAAAAAACCAGAGAATCAAGACAAGAAATAACTCAATTAAAAGATGGGCTAAGGAACTGAACAGAGAGTTCTCAAAAGAAGTAAAGATGTCTATGAAGCATCTTAAGAAATGTTCAACATCAATAATAATTAGGGAAATGCAAATTAAAACCACTTTCAGATTTCATCTTACCCAGTCAGACTGGCTAAGATCAAGAGAACAAATGATACCAAATGTTGGAGAGGATGTGGGGAAAGGGGAACACTCATCCACTGCTGGTGGGGCTGCAAACTTGTTCAACCACTATGGAAAGCAGTGTGGAGAGCTCTTAAAAATCTACAAATGAACCTACCATTTGACCCAGTTATACCACTCCTTGGCATATACCCAAAGAACTCACCCTATTGCAGAGACACTTGTACATCCATGTTTGTTGCTGCTCTTTTCACACGAACAGATGGAAGCAACTTAAGTGTCCTTCAACTGAAGACTGGACAATGAAAATGTGGTTCATTTATAAAATGGAGTTTTCCTCAGCAGTAAAGAAAGATGAAATCATGAAACTTGCTGGTAAATATATGGAACTAGAAACTGTTATACAAAGTTCAGTAACACAGACTCAGAAAAAAAAATTGACATATGTTCTCCCTCATATGTGGATCCTAGAACAAAACCCTGATAAGGGCGTATGTATCCAGACATAACTACAGGAACCAGGATATTGAAAAGGAACCAGGGAGGTAAAGGAAAAGAAAGAACCTGAAAGAGAAGAACAGTTAGGAATCAGCCCTTATAAGAGAGATATGGATAAAAATTGGGTTAGTTTAAAGGAAGGGGGAGGGAAGGGTATACAAGGAACCTAGCAGACAAAGGGAAAGGAGCTCAAGAGAGGTAGGACCATAGGAGAAGGGTATTATTAAGGGAGAAAGGGGGGAAATGGGGTCCCCTTAAGTGGGAAAACCATGATGGAGGGGTGAGATAATGTGAGAGATAAATAATGCCTAGCTAGTTTT